TCTGTTTATTAATATAAGACATAGCTAATAGTGCAGAAAGAAACAATAACTTTTACATTTTCCGAACAAATATACTTCCCCGCTATGAAATCTGTCAAATATTATACCTCACTTTCTAGTGGCGCCGCCCTGGTGGCAAAAAATTTTTGTTCGATAAAATGACTTTACCTATAGAATGTAGTAGATGGCGCTATTAGTCAAATGCGATCACTCTTTCTAAAATAAATAGGTACGTGTACCTTGGTAACTATCTTAAATAAAATTAATAAAAGATTAGATAAGCCGTCTCGGAGATTAGCCGGAACAAACAGACAGGCAGACAGAGACAAAAATTTTAAAAATTGTGTTTTTGTTCTAAGTACCGTATAATACCTTCAAACGCATTTAATGAAAATATGTTATTTTGATATTACAACCATATACTCCAATTTTCTACCGCCCTCTAAGTTTCGAAAGTTTCTGCAGCCTATATTAATTGTATTTTTATTTTTATTGTTTCTACAGCTATATTAATTGTATTTTTATTTTTATTAATGTAGCACGAATGGGTCGGCTCGACCGGGGAAGAACCACGCTATCACGGAATACCAGTGTAAAATATCAGCTTAATACTTTCGTATGGTGAGTGTAAGAACCGGATACACTTTTTACTGGAAAAGAGGTATTCCATCTCACGGCTGACAACAAATCTGCATTTTGATTCGCAAACGAGAATAGATATAGATGCCTATGGGTCACAGCAACCACTCAGAGCAACCACTTACCATCAGGTGGAGTGTGTGCTCGCTTGTCACCCTTATCCTATAAAACGAAAACAAAAAATAACTACTTGTCGCATTTTTTTTAATCAAAAATCCCAAGATTTTTACAGCACGGGATTATGGCAACAAGTTATCCACTAAAATGGCACATAGGTATATATTATAAATAAATGTAGGTAATTAAACTTACAAAAAAATGTCTTGTATTTGTACCTATACAAATAAATATAATTTAAAATTAAAAATTTTGTACAACCGATTTCAATATAAATTATTAAGAATAACTCAAAAACTATTGCTCAGACCTTGATCTATCATTGATATCCTTGATTTATATGGGACCACATGTGAAGCACCAGCTTACAAATGAAAAAAAATCATCGAAATCGGTCCACCCAGTAAAAATGCCGATCTATTATTATACGAGATAGATCATCTACTGGAAGTAATGGGATGTTTCTGAATTTTCCAAAAGGCCCAATCGATACATTAATTTATACAGCCTATAAAATGTTCCGTAAATAGATTGCTATATAGATATATGCTGGAGCCCATTTGCCGTTTCAGTTTCCCTCTATCGCCTCTTACGACATATACACATATATGGCAGCATCTTCCTGATAACAGCTCCTCAAAATAATGAAACACTGCGGCTGCCAACCCGCCTGCCAAGCGTGGCAACTATTGCAAAGTCTCCCCTATGAGGCATTCTGTGGAAGGGGCCTATGTTCAGCAGTGGACTTTTATAGTCTGTAATGGATGGAATGGACGTTATATAGTTTATAGTATATTTTTCCCTCCAAAATTGGCACGTCATGACCGCACTTAATTTGGTACGGGTAGTGTAAAATTTCGGTACCTACCGCTGCCCCAAAAGATAACCTCAGATGGTGAGTATTGTAAAATATTATAATCGTGGAGTTATTTTTACTAACTTTTAAAGTAGGCTGAGCTGTTAACTTCAACAAATCATCAGTGCGATAGAGTAACTCTGATGGAAATCAGTTCACAACTACATTTTGTGGTTGGTCTCTTTTCTACCTGGGAGTCTGTCTGGGTTTGGCTTTTGTTTTCTTATTATTTTTCCCCTATTATTAGCTTTATTTTATCTTTAATTGTTTGAATATTAATTTCTTATTATTTTAATATAATTAGATTTAATTTAAGTATTTAATTTTTTTATGTTGTACTAGAATGGGTGTTTATACTGTTACAGTTACTGGATGATTATCAAATACTAATTATTCTTTATTAGGGGGGTTACGATCTGTTGCACAAGCAATTTCTTATGAAGTAAGATTACCTTTGATTATGTTATCAAGAATTATTTTGATTATAGATTTTAATATAATAAAAGAAAATATTTATCAAGATTTAATTTTTAATATTACCTTTAAGAATATGTTGAATTTCTTCAAGGTTAGTTGAAACTAATCACCACTTATCATCACCCTCTTATGTAATTCTGTCGCCAAGAAGCAGTGCGTGCACTATGTCCCGGCCTGAAGGAACCGAGCGAGCTAGTAAAAATACAGGCTGTGAAGCATTCTACAATAGTCCTTTGGGGGGTTTGGCGGGAACTTTACCGGCGGCGGTTAGTTGCTCCTGTATTATTGTTTAAATAATGGTTTGAAGTGGACTTTGATATGTAAAAGTGGTGCGATTTTGTGTATTAGGTGTCTGCGCATGGGAACTATTATTGGAAACGGTGAAACCAGTGCTCTGGTGGTAATGTCATTCTCAAGATAAGTTGTCTGTCTGCTTAGGCGTTTTGAGATACTCTTGAGATATCGCCAACTGTCAGCTGTCTACTGGCTCAAGTTGCCGTCAAAATCTCCCAAGGGCTGCACAATGGTGACGCATCAACATATTGTGAAGCAGTGTACTATGAAGGATTATTATACATTGTAACTTCAGGCTCAGAAGGGCTAGACCCAGAGCCGTAAAGCCAGTTATAAAAAAAATCCAGTCCTTTAAAGTGACGACGTATCTGTTGCCTTCTTTGTGTGAAGTTGGGCTGCAGTAGTCGCTTATCATCAGATGGACATTAAGTTCGCTAGTCACTTCAGTTATATGTACTACATTTTTTTTCATACATTGAAGTACCTATTGTACTTATTTTCATGTAAGGTTTTGTAATCTAAAATGCCTCATTATATTAATATATTATTATTAATATAAAAAGTTTAATACATACATACATACATATAACACATACATATAATCACGCCTCTTTCCCGTAGGGGTAGGCAGAGACCACTTCTTTCCACTTGCTACGATTCTTACATACTAGTTTCGCTTCGTCCACTTTCATTATTCCCTTCATACATGCTCTACGGTTTAGGGTACTCTTGACCTGGCCTTTTTTCAAGACGTCCCTGATTTGGTCTACAAATGTCCGCCTAGGTCTACCCCTACCAACACTTTCATTCACACTCGCCTTATACTTTTTTCGTCAATCGTTCTTCATTCATTCTCTCGACATGGCCAAACCATCTCAGCACACCTTTCTCAATTTTTGACACTACATCTTCTTTCAGACCACAACGTTTCCTTATCTCACTATTTCTTATCCTGTCACTCAGTTTAATTCCTATCATACTTCTTAATGCTCTCATCTCAACTGTATTTATTCTGCTTTCATGTTTCTTCTGCCATACCCAACTTTCACTTCCGTACATGAGTGTCGGAACCAACACCCCTTCATGCACAGCCAAACGAGCCTTGTTAGACACCTTCCGACTGCTCATAAAGGAGTGCAAAGCTCCATTCACCATGTTTCCTGCATTCACTCTTCTTTCGATACCACTTTCACACTTTCCATCTCTTGTAAACTTTGAACCCAGATACACAAACTCTTTCACCTGTTCAATTTGTTCATCTTCAATCACGATATTGCAGTCTGTCACTGCCTCATCTTTTTCAAACACCATCACTTTCGTCTTCCTTACATTCATCTTAATTCCCTTTCTAACAAAAGCTCCACTCATAGCAGTTACCATCTCCTGCAACACCTCGGCCGAAGACGAAAGTAATACTTGGTTATCAGCATAGAGAAAACATTTAATCAAAAGTTTAATATGGTATATTAATATGTTAACATAACCAACACCACCGTACCCAGACCAGACTCACGTCTATGGATCTGGTCTGGGTATTTTACGTCTGGCGTAAACTAAATGGTAACAGCGCCATCTATCGGCAACCATAAAACGTTTGTGGTTTAACCCATAGTCACCTCTTACGACACCCACTGGAGATAATGTGGTTGTGGGTATCCTTACGTTGCCACCACCACGAGATAAAAATGCGTAACAATATATACATAGTTACACAGTTAATAATATTTAGTTACATTGGAAGGAAATAGGTATAGAAATAAAGAGACAGTTTCATTGAAATACACTATATTTTCATCAGTTGCAATGAAAACTACAAAGTTAAAATATAAATGTTACAATAACGTAAACGTTATAAGAAAATATTTCATTTTTACATCAAAATGTAACCTACACATCGCATAGCTGTGCTGGAAACGAACAATTTTGTGCAAACGCTAATAATTCAATGGCGTGATGATCACAAGGCATTTTAGAAATAAAACGATTTTTTTATAGCAAAAAACCTTTTCTTTTGATAACAAATCCAGCTGTCTTTTATTTGAACTTACATTGTGGTCACCGCGCTATCACTGACTAGACGAAAGAACGTTCTTAAATGCTTATTTCTGAGGCAAATTAAAAAATATAATTTTCTCGTGTACTTAAATATAACACACGATATTTACACAGTAACTGCATACACATAAAAGTAAAAATTTTGCCTTGAAAGTATATTTATTTTTAGAAAAATATATTTTTATGTGACGTAAGAAAGGGAGGGACGTCATACCGTTCACAGTGACAGTTCATGTCAATATTCTGTCTGCTGTCAAAGTACCAAATTTCAAAAAGTAACAAATGCGTTATGTACTACTTACTATTTTTGACAATATATATATATATATATATATATATATATATATATATATATGGGTGAGGGTAATAGTAACGTAAGATGTCATATTAAGATTGCAGACCTAAATTCAGGGACCCTTTTATGGTTTAATTTATATAAATATGTATATATAAACAGATTTCTGGACGGTAATTAACCACTATAAAAAAAAACAGGTTAAATTAGTTTCTTTTGTTTTCTTATCAACTACATTTTTAAGTTCATGAATTGATAGACGGATTTTGTGTAATAAAATTATATTTTGGATAACGTATATTGCTAAAACACGAACTAAACTTATAAATAAATAAGAATCAATTTCACACGATTGTTTGATGAATCTATAAATTTTATTTGTTTGTTGTTTAGCATAGTTTAAAATTATGTTTCACTTTAAAATTAATGGATTTTGGTTTTATTTATGAAAGAGTAATGGCAGAAAAATAGTTGACAAAAATTATAACGTCTAGAAATAAGTTATATATAAAATGAGTTTTATTATATTTCTATGATTTTTCAAATAAAAATGTATTTTAATTAAAGCCACAGAAAAAACAAACATTTTTGGGAATATCAAATGACTTAAATCATTTTACTCTATTCAAATGTTGCCATTTAGCATATTCATACTATTTTCGTATATACTTTTTAAGACTACCAACACAACACACAAAATATTTTAATATTAAGTTATTATTAGTAATAACTGTACTATCAGTAATAATAAAAATAAAAGTGATATGGCTGAGAATAAGTCTCTTACAAAGAATTTCCTACAATAATGCATTATCTCAATCATAGTTCTATGTAACAATTCCATTTAATGTTATGCCAACACTAGATAAAATTAAATGTCACTGTTTTTTTTATTGGCTTTACGGCTCTGGGTTCTAGCCCTTCTGAGAATGTCACTATGATACAATAGCCCTGGAGCCATGCCAGAAATATATTATACATTTATAGAATGCAAATATATAATAGAGATACAATAATCTAAAAACTCTCAATTATGTATTAAGCTAACATCAAACATCCACAGGAAGCATGACTTTTTCCAAGTGACATAGGACATAACCTAAAAAGGTTCAAATGTAAATATCTTATTTTTGACGCCTTCTCAGTACGAAATTCTTTGACGGATTTATTAAGGGACTGACGCTTAACATTTTAAGATATTTTTGATATATAGACGCTACCATTTCTTCTCAACTATTTTTATGTATGAATGTCTGCCATTGCTCTTTCATTTGTAAAACAATGTTACTTATTATTTTGCACTGTCACAATATGATTTCTAAGCACGTTATATGACTTTAAACATCTTACAATATATAATATGTATATGTATATATACTGTACGAATTAAAACACTTTACTATATTTACTGGAAGTTATCTATTGCTTATAAATTGGTAAGAGGCATTTTACATAATATGTTAATTTATCACTGCTAAACTTAAGTTTGTATCAAAGTCTATACATTATGGTATTAACTATTTTAATATACATCATACTATGAAGAAAAAATCTATGGTTACAAAAGTGAAATAGGTAACAAAAGTTGTTAAGAAGTTCTATTGTACCGTTCAAAACTTTCTGTCTCATATTTGACAGACCCACAGATGAAAAATAAATCAAAGGCACAAATAATTTAAGTACTTAACTACAAGCAAACCTTACAGTAAAATATAATCCACCAATAATTTTAAAATAAAACAATGCACAGACAATACTAGACGCACTAGTGACCTCTATTGCGTTTTGGGACGCGTACTCCTATACGATCCCACAACATATATTAAGTAAATTTTTGAAGGTTAACCTTCCATTCCACAATATTATATGTATATGTAGCAATTTATAATTGCTTTACAATTTTCAATACACACATGATATTTTAAAGTCCATATGGTATTAAATGCTTATGATATAAATACATTTTATATATTTTTTACACTATTAACTCACTGTATACCCAAAACCGTTATTTTAGCCCGTTGCGATAATTTTTGGCACGCTACTAAAGCGCGTAGCTATAAAATTGTTTATTAAAAAATATCCTAACAATAACTATATACATAGGAACGACTGTTTGTTGTGGATTTCAATATGCACTTACATATTTACAATTGTGTCGGCTGTCTATTTGTTTCACTGTAGGTATATTTTACGTGTTAGTGATCAAGTATACAAAGAGAAGAAAATATGTCTTTAGTACATAACAGAGCTCCCCCAATCGTTTTTTGCCACCTTCTAGTGAGTAGAGGCTTAATAGATATTATCTAAGGAGGTACAGTTTAAGTCAGTTTTTTTTTGTAAGGTTCAACTAAACACCATAATAACATAGTTAATTGCATAAAACTTTCACCGTCATCACATTACAAAAAGTAGTTTATAATCGATCTCAGGTTTAAAATATAGTGTGTTTAGTTAATAAAGGAGTCACGTGGAAAATATGCGAACTAAAATCATACTAAAATGTAAAATATGGAATTTGACAGCAAATGTCAAATTTGGCAAGTTTGCCAAATCCCCACTATGTGGCAATCTATTGGGTACATAGATCTGTTCAGCAGTGGACTTTTGATAGGATATAACGGTATATCTTTGAAACTTTTTTGCAAATTATTTTCATATTTATACTAATGTTGCCCACTGTGTTTCCCTGACACCATGTTAACTTTCCCGCTGTTATTCTAAAATTGAAATTTTTTATTACTTGATCTCAAAACCTTCACGTATTTTGAACCTAGTGTTTTCTAAAACAAACACATTATCTTATAAACAATATGATCTGTAATAGATTTATGTTCCTTTAGGTAACTCAAATGTTTTCATTTGTGTTTACAAGTGTACTAGATTTAAATAACACTTGAGTTAATAAGTAAGACTTAAGTTATCTAGTTTAATAAGTTGTTAAAATGTGTAAAATTAGGCACGATAAAACTTTTGCCATTAGAAAAACTCTGTAAAGAGATTTTAGTTTAATTTAGTAAGATATATTCTCGGGTGTCTTAGAATTAATAAGACTTAGTGATCACTTTTCAATTTGTTGATTACGAGATAAATTTAGAAATGATACAACGAAATTGTCAGAGTTTTTATGATGCGTAATATGTGTCCTATAATCAAATATCATTTTACAAGTGTTTGCACATCCTAATTAAATAGTCTAATTGTCGTACTATGGTCAGGGTATTGGCATTTATAAGCTGCTTGTTTTTGCTTTTCTGAACCAGTGGTGAAAGTAAAAAAATATTTTTACTAACATTTATTTGTAATATGTAGTGAAAAAAAAAATATTTTATTCTATTCAGATGTACACAAGTCAGCATGTCTCAGCGTAGTTCAGTCGTTTCAGAAGTTAGAGTCTAATGGATATCTCTGAGCAGATATTTCAAGTTTTATTAAGTAGCCCTTGTAGAAGAGATATTCTAGGTGCTGTCATCTTTTCCAGGTGTTATCAACTGTTCCAGGTATTATCACCTGTTCCAGGTGTTGGCACATGTTCCAGGTCTTGACGCATGTTCCAGATGTTATCTTCTGCTCCAGGTGTTGGAACATGTTCCAGGTGTTATCAACTGTGTCAGGTGTTGGCACATGTTCCAGGTGTTTTCAACTGTGTCAGGTGTTGGCACATGTTCCAGGTGTTGTCAACTGTTCCAGGTGTTGGCACATGTTCAAGGTGTTATCAACTGTTGCCAGGTGTTAGTACATGTTCCAGGTGTTATCACCAGTTCCAGGCGTTGACACATGTTCAAGGTGTTATCACCTGTTCCAGGTGTTATCACCTGTTCCAGGTGTTGTCACCTGTTTCAGGTGTTGCTTCAGGTGTATTTATCTATTTCAGGTATAGTAACCTGTTACAGGTGTTAATTAAGTCAGTAGTTGGGTAGACACACGTGAAATCATCGGTATCACTGAGGTGGCAGTTATAAGCATTGTCTAGGTGTCGTGTAGTTAGGAAAACACTGCGTAATGTCACTGGTATAACTCAGCAGGTGTTGCGCAGTGTCACTGTCCAGGTGTCCAGTGTACATTCAGTGTACCTCCAGTGTAGCACCTGTTTGAGGTATTAGCAGCCTCAGTAGTTGTGTAGACGCTTGATGTGACCGGTAGCACTGAGCAGGTGTCACTGTGCAGGTGCAGAAGTGGGCAGTGCTCAGAGCAGCGCGGCGCGGCCGACGGCGGCGTACTCGCGGCCGGAGCGCGGGCGCGCGGCGTGGCGGCCGTCGCACGAGCTGAGCGACGACACGGACAGCGACTCCATGTAGTCCGACGTGTCCGAGCCGCTCGACGTGCTCTTGTGCGTGAGCTGGCTGTGCCGCGCCCTGCTACCGTCGCCCTCCGCCTCGCCTGCACACAATCACAATTCATTCATAACAGCCTACAGAAGTCCACAGCTGAACATACAGAGAATTTTGCCACAGTTACCACGCTTGGCAGTAGCAACCACAATTCCTTTTTTTGTACAATAAGTGTGACAAACGAGCACACAGTCCACCTGATAGTAATCTATGTTTAAAAATCAAAAGGCAGATGCGTTATCACCCTTGAAGACTAAAATGGAATGCCACATTACCCGTGAAAAGACTCTCTACCCTCACTATACGAAACACAGCAGTATTAAGCTGCTATTTTAAGATGATATTCTGTGACAGCTTGATCCTTCCCCCGGTCATGCCGAACCATTCGAGCTACAGTCATAATATAGCTATAGAGTGATCCTTCCAAGTTGAAACATAATAAACCATAATACTCGTATATTCCGCAGTTGCGCAAAGACCTCTCATTTGTGAAAGGGTTTTTAAAAGCAAGGAAGAATGCACAATGACTCTATGTACATTATGATTGTAATAACATCTGAGAAATATTTTTATATCTACAAATTACGTGGAAATTTCTTATGATATTTTTGTCCATCATCATGCTGCAATCCAATACCAGACGTATCATATCGTCTACAATGCCAATGTAAATATTTTACGGATGGTATATTTTTACGTGATAGAGCCATGCTGCAGCTATATTACTGGTATAGTTGTAGCAAGAATAAATCGGCTGAACCAGGAAAGGACCACGCTCTCACAGAATTGCAGCTTAACGCTGCTGTGTTTCGTATGGTGAGTATAGAGAACCGGAGACCCCTTTTTACTGAAAACGAGGCATTCCATCTTAGTCCTCACGGGTGACAATGCACCTGCATTTTAGAATAGAATAGAATAGAAAAAACATTTATTCAGCACAGGCAGTTCATACACATGAAAGTAAAAGCACATATTGATATATATAAAAAAGGTCGCATTATGCCGAAAAGGGGTTGGCTCAGCATGTGTTGTGTGAGTATGGCCTCACACAGCGCTGATTTTCAGCCAAGAAACCTATTCATTGGCGTCACGAACGTAGCACAGCTGTTACGTGTAGTTTAGTCCTTCGATAAAACGAAAAAAGCCTAAACCTTCTATATAATTATAACACAAAATTTAAAATAAAGCAAAAAGCAGCAAAAAAAAAAAGTACAATATAAGACATTAAATATAACCTTATACATAATTGTGTGTATTGAACAGATTTTGATTCGTAATCGAAGATAAATGTACATGTCTATGGGCCACAGCAACCACTTACCATCAGGTGGACTGTGTGCTCGTTTGTCACCCTTATCCTATAAAAAAACGGTGTAAACGAGATCGTTATTTCCCAAAGTCGCCACTTACGAAACCTATAGATTGAAATGTGGTAAGAGATGGGATATTTGCTATAGTTGCCTCGCTTGGTAGGTGGTTTGGCAACTGCAGATTTTTATTTTCAGTTGTAATTAGACAGTAGAAACTCTTCTGCCCTTCTCTTGGTTTGATTCCCTCTGTCGCCTATAACGACATGGAGTAGAGTAGAGTAGAGAGAGTGGATATTCTTACACCGGCACTGCACGATATATATCCATTTAGTTTTATTGTTACCTCGTTTTTATAAATATATCGCGTTCGTGTATGCCTGTAATCTGTTCAGGTGGAATTTAGTAATTGATTTGAAACTAACTTCCCGATGAGCTAGCCACTTGAAATTTTGAATATAGCTCAGAATCAATTCACAACGATTTTACATTATGTAATATGTAAAAAAAAGTAAAATTATTTCGCAGTTTATTTTAAATCATTTTTAGATTAAGATGTGCTAACTTACCGCATTTTTTCTTCCGTCGCGTCAAAGTGTCCACGTCAAATGAGTTGGACTTGGCCAACGTGGCGACTTCTTCGAACTGAAACGTCAAGTGCTTCAGCGGATCCGAGGAGTTGGATTTTATGAACGGCGTGTGCACTGGCGTGAGGGTACTCCTGAACTGCTTATTGCTTTTGAAATGTTTCTTGTAGGACTTAGAGTTGGTTATGGCGTTCTCCAACTCGTTGAAATCACCTTTGTGGTGCTTCAAGGACCCAGTCGAGACACCAGAGTCGTTGGAGCTGGACGAATCTCTGTTTTTGTCGGACTTACTGGGGACGCTAGAGGATCTTCTGATTTTGACGGCGTCTCTGAATCGTGCAACGAGGATATTTTCGCTTTTCGGCTCGGGGGTCTTGAAGACTTTGTCCTTTTCGGATTCCTTTTGGGTGACTAGGGGTATGCCTTCGTTTATGCGTTCAGTTTTGTTCGACTTCCTGAGAACTGTAGGAGTGAAGCATATACGCGCGTTGATCCCGTAGTCTTCGTCCTGCCGCTTGGTGAAGTCCGCGGAACTGGACCTCCTCGTGCTAATCGTGTTGTCTGTGTCGGAATGCTGCGTCGGATCTGACACGTGGCTGATCCTGCTGACGTTGTCGGAGAAGTTCCTGTTGGAGCTGGAGCTACTGTCGAGGGGCTCCATGTGCATGTAGCTAGAGTGGTCGTTGCAACAGTCATTGTGGTGGACGGCCGTGTTGACGGTCGCCGTGGAGATGTCATCATCGTGCTCCGGGATGTCCTCCAGCGCATCCAGCTCCTCTTGGCTAAACCCAGCGCTCCTGAGGATCTGCAGCGAACTCTCGAACTTCTCCAGGGTAGTATTAAGGTCTATATTCGCGTAATTACCGTAGTCCATAGCCGGCTCGGCTGTGACTGGGGTGACGTTGACATAGTTAGACTGTGTGTCGACTGCTCCTTCGTTAAGGCTACTATCACATGCGCTCTCTGTGTCTATGTTTTGTCTTTTCTCTTCGCTTTTGTTTTCGTTCGTGTGCGAACATTTGCAGGCGCTGCCATTCATTAGGCATTTCAATTTCTTTGGTGTATCGTATAGGCTCGCGGCGTCTGAATGTACATCTACTGGATGTTCCTGGAAAGAGAGAACTATATATACAAAAAGAATGATGTTAGAGAGGGACGGAGAGAAGATTGCATTCTGTAGGTACTGGTTAACTAAAGTTTCTTTTTTGATTACAGCTCCCAAAACCCTCTTAGGAATTAAAGGAAATACACATGCCCTTTAATTCCTAAGAGAGTTTTAGGGTAAGGGAAAGTTATTGAAAAAAATATACTTCGATTAATAAGTATATTTATTTTAATTATATAAATAATCATTTATTTTTGCACAAGTGTATTTGCAAAATTAAATGATTATTTATGTGTACAAATATGCACATCAAAAAATTGTAAGTAAAATTTTATCTTTTAAACTAAAATTATATTTTGGTTGAATGTGTGATTCCTCTAATTTCCGAGAGGGTTTTTAGTTTTTACTCTTATCTCTTCCTTTACCGCCGGGCAGTAAATCAGCAACAACTTTGACCAATCGAGAAACAGCTTAAGACTACAAAAATGAGACTTTAATAAAGAGTAAAAAGTCCAAAGAACTATAAAGAAAAAATAATATTCACATAAGATCGTTAGTAGTCGGTACCAAGACATAATATATAGAAGTATTAATGCTTCGCCTTCGGTATTTATTATTGTATACATATATTTTTTATGGCAGCTCTGAATAATTATTTCAGACAGACGTAATTATTAATTTGATAACACAGCCCATCACAAGTCTGCTGCTAAACAGAGACCTCCTCAAGAAATGCCACAAAGCACGGTCCTGAGCCACCTGCACACATCGAATTCCTGCATGTCTAACCAGCTCGTCACTCCCTCTATTTCAGTGGTGCCGGCGGGATTTGAACTTTAGTTGTTCACATTGTTGACGGCTCCGTGGCGCAGTGGCTTAGCAATGAGTTGCAACGCTGGGAGCCGCGGAATCGAATCTCGCACGGAACAAGTATTTGTATAGCCTACAAATAATTGTTCCAGGTCTGGATGTTTGTCCTTGTGCAATTTATGTTTGTAAACTGCCTCTACGATACAGGAGAAAATCCTAGTGTGGGGGTAACTTTAAAAAAAAATCATACTATATAGCCCTTGAGCTACCATGACATACTAGTAAAAAAAAATTATTTGTGCGACCTGCTATGTAGGTCTACCAGTGCAGTGACACTACACGCTGTGACCTAAAAAATCTATTGTGATCGCTGCTATGGCTACAGTTCACTGCTAAGCCCTATGTCTTCAATGGATAGAAGGGGTTGCCTAGCCGTGAGAAATTCCACTTCTTCTGGGCGGAGTACATACTTTCCCAGATGAGTTTTACGGTTGCGCATTAAGGGTCCACAATCAGTTAGGATGTGCAGAGGAGTTTCTTCTGAGCCCTGACTGGCTCTCACCAGAATGCGCACTTTATTCTTACCAAATCCCAGGGCTTCAGAAGCGATTTTACGATCGTAAGCCCGGCTTAAGGTTTTTGAATGTTTTAAGCTTGGTGTATCAGACCAGATCTTAAGTGATTTATCGTGATAAAGAATTTCACGGGTAAATCAGGCTAGGCTTTTTTAAAATTCCACAAAATGGCTCGGGACCAAACTGTGTATGGACTCTTTGAGCCCTCCCGTGCAAGCTTGTCGGCAAGTTCACTGCCTACAATACCCGCGTGACCCAGAACCCATCTTAAAACGACGTTCACGCAGTCTCCAACTAGCTTCGAGTTCACTAAGTTTGTTCTCAGTGTTAGCAGTACTGCTTGACTATCAGAGTTTATATAGATAACATAGTTATATAGAACATAAAAGTAAACTATGAAGTGATGTAACATTGAGACTGATATAATGTGTATATAATATATACACATTATATCAGTCACTAGCTGGCCAGACAGACGTTGTTCTGCCCTTTCCGACGACCCTTTCCATAAAAAATCCTTAAATTCGAAATAAAAAAATATTGAAGGTCATTTATCGGGATAAAAACTATCCTATCTCTCAAGTTGGACCAAAATGCACACAGTGTGCAAAATTTCATTGAAATCAGTTCAGTAGTTTAGGAATGACACGTAATTTTTATATATAAAGATAATTGAAAATTCATATTACATATTTTTTTGTAATCTTTATTGGATAAAAATTATTCTATTCTATTCTATATTGGGCATTCCTGTGCTTAGTCATAAAAATATTTATTTATTATATGTGGTTTGGTCATGATCTGGTCAAAGAATGAAGGAGAAAAGAGTGACAAAGCAAATTTATGTTGCAGAAGTGAACGGCAGAGTCGGGAAGGGACGCCCTATACTAAGGTTTATCAACCAAATTGGCAATATATTGAAAATGGGCCAGATTAGGAGTACCCTTAACCGACGAGCGTGTATGCGTAGATATATGGATGTAAAGGAGGCGAGAGGGGTGTGTCAGGATCGCGCCAAATGAAAGTCCGTAGTCTCTGCCTACCCCTCAGGGTGACAACCGTGAGTGTTTACGTATGTATGTTGTTTATACTCTTTAGTGCACATATATTACAAATATACATTCCAAACTTTAACTTAAATATAAATAATCGAGTGGTCTTATCGCTAAACAGCGATCTCTTCAAGGCAAACTAAGACCTCTCACCTGAATTAAAGGCATCGGTGTCTTTGGCACGTCGTAATTCTCATATGGTCCGTTAAACTGTTTCTTCCTACAGCTGCACGTCTTCGGTTGCTGCCAGCACTGGCAGGTGTTGCCAGTCTTCACTGGCACGGTTGGCGTGCAGCACGCGACAGGACTGCCGCGCTTCGATTCAAAGCTCTTGTCTAAAAGGCACGCGCCTCTTGGCACCGAATACTCGGACGCGCTGCCACTCGATCGAGAATAAATCGACGCTCTATCGGAATCGGAGCGTTTCTCCATTATATTCTCCATTGTCCAAACCGGGGACATGATTGAGCCGGGCGTGCCCATTGTTGACGATCTGAAATTTGGCAAAGTTCTAGAATGTTGGAGAAAATAGTTTTTAACGAAATCGAAAGATACTTTATACGTGGTAGAGTCAAGCTGCAGCTATATTATGACCGGGGTAGGACCACGCTCTCACAGAATACCTGCGTAAAATAGCTGCTTCACGCTGCTGTGTTTCGTATGGCAAGTGTAGTTAACCGGAGACCCTTTTTTACTTTAAACGAGGCATTCCATCTTAGTCCTCAGGGGTGACAACGCATCTGCATTTTGATTCCCCATCGAGGATAAATGTAGATCTATAGGCCACAGTATCCACTTACCATCAGGTGGACTGTGTGCTCGTATGTCACCCTTACTATATAAAGAAAAACTTATTAAAATCTTTGTTAAAATTAGGGATGGGCCGGATACTGACTCTGCCGGGTATCCGGCAATCAGATACCTTAAAAAACCATAAAATATTATGTTATTAGAGGTTAATATCCCTTCTTTCTTCGACTTTGATAAATAAAAATGATTAATGTTACAATAAAAATGCTATTTTAAACTATCCGACACTGCCGGATACCTGGCGTCACTATCCGGCACTCGGCCGGATCCTAAAAAAGAGCCGGATCCACCGGGTACAGGATCCAACCGGGTAGCCTCCTGATCATTAGCCAAAATATTTTCTTCGTTTTCTTTATTCGCCCGTAAAAGTCACATGAGCCTCCCCGTTGCCCCTAGCTGCCCATTACGACACCCAGGGGACGATATGAGGTGATGGATTCTCTAACACTGCCACCAGACGGCATACACACATAGATATATACATAAATACATGTATGTTCAAAAAATAAAGGAAATAATAAAAAACGGAGTTGGTTGCAGGTGTCTACGTGCTGCAGTAGCCACTTACCATCAGGTGGACAGTAATTCTGTTTATCACTTCAATTTTATAAATAATTAAATATAGTGAAATGTGAATTATAATAACAATGTCCTCCAGATCGAAATTCGGTCACGGCGGCCAACCTCAACGGAGACTAGGCATTGGCTTAGGACAAGATTATGGTGCACGAGTGTGAACACAAGCACGGGTGCACTCTCCATTCCATTATTATCTTTATTATAATCTTATCTTTTCTAATTAGTAGTGTAGAGAACCGGTGACCCTTTTTACTGGAAAAGAGGCATTCCATCTTAGTCCTCACGGGTGACAACGGTTTTGCATTTCCTTTTTATTCGCAAACGAGGATAATCTGTGTCACCCTATCCTATAAAAAATATTATGTCTATTATATTTATATTCTGTCTATTCCATAGTTCGATAGGACAGCAATCCGACGCGACTGGCGAATTCAGGCACAGGACCATTGGCTTCACGTTATTTCCGAGGCACGGGGGTGAAACACGGACGACTTCACAACTCCGGGTTGATACTCAGAATTTATTGTCAGAGAAACTCAATAACTGTTTTTTTATCCGACCCAGGCTTCGAACCCAGGATCTTATGATCAGCATTAACGACCACTAAACCAATGAGGCAATCAAAGGTGGATAATGTTATTAATTTGCCTTGAGAAAACGGTGTCAGAACAATTTAAAACTCAGTACGTACCTGGTAAGCTGACTCATCTTCCCCATGCAGCTGAAAGAGCAGCGGGGTAACGAAGTCGGTCTGCGGAACTTCTCCTCGCCGTTGCTATCGATGCTAGAGTCCAGGTCTGAGAGACAGTGCATGGTCTGGCTTGTGGGGCCGTTCCACGCGGGCGACACGGATCGCATGGACGAGTGGAAGCAGTCGTCCGCACACGAGCTGGTGTCCGAGAAACGTTTCTCCAGGACTGGTGGAAAAAGTTTCATTATTGCTTGGACGACTTAAGTTATAATGGGTGATTTTAGTGCGGTTGGAGAGATCTCCCGAAACCAAAATAATACAAAGAGATTTCTCAAATATACATATATACGTATACGTAAATATATATCTATACGAGTATACAAATGTAAATAAAACTTAAAGTTACAGCCTTTATCCGTCCCATTTTTGGGCACAGGCTTCCTCTTATCTCTGAGTGTTTTAGGGCAATATTATATATTATATACATACATACATATACAGTATATATTATGGATGTAGCGCGAATGGGTCGGTTCGACCAGGCAAAGATTACGCTCGCATATAGTACGTAATACCAGCCTAAAATAACACCATAATGCTGCTTTGTTTCATATGGCGAGTTACGAGAACGGAGATCGCTTTTACTGCCATTTAATCATAGTCCGCGTTGGTTACAGTTTACCTGCATCAAATACAAAGGGGATACAAAGGGTAGACTTAAAGGCCTTATGGCATTCTCCCCCGGTCAACCCTGTGCGTGGTGAAATATAACGGTAGGCGTAAAAAAAGAATATATAATAAGGGGAAGCATGTGCCCAGAAACGGGGGGGGGGGGATAAAGGCTGAAACTTTAAGTTTTGTAAAGAAAAGTAGGCAATAATTAATATGAAAAATACAGTAATAATAATAATAATATGTATGTGTTTATAGACTACAGCATCCATTAACCAATCAGGTGGACTGTGTGCTCATTTAGTAATCATACTTAAAAAAAAAAAACACTACATCTTATATTTACGTAACATCTACCGTAATATTCCTATTAAATTTAACTTTTAATATGCGAAACATAGCATTATGATGCAATACTTCCACCCTTACTTTTGACCCATTAGTGAAGCAGCTGTAATATATAGCCGCAGGGTGGGCCTAGGACGTGATAACCTTAATATTGGTGAGGATAATAAAAGCATGTTGTCTGAATCAAATCAATATTTTTTTAAATTCATATAATCTTTAACCACTAGACGACCTGACTAAACATACAGGAAGCCGCGCTTTGTAGCATTGCACAGGAGAGGTCTATGTTCAGCAGTGGACTTGTAAAGGGATGTAATGATGATGGTGTTGCTGATATAAACTCTAAACAAAAGACTTATGAACGTCAACATACTAAGGTAATTATTACTTAGGGTTCAGATCAATCAACCAAGCAATATAATATTTTTTATTGTACACCAATACACATAAAAAAGAAACAAAATTGAAATATAATTATAGAAAGTAGAACAGGCGGTCTTATCGCTCTGGGAGCGATTTCTTCCAGACAATGTTTTACGCAAAGAACTGTTGTTTACAATGAATGGTGAACAGGTAAGTGCACATAAATTTGACAATTAAGTAAAAAAAAAAAATATAAAAGCACAAGATGATGACTTGACTTCAGATATTCTTATACAAGGAAAATCGCTACGACAAACTACGTGTTTGGCGAATTTATGTTCAGTATATAACATATTACATTTTCCAGCTTGTAAGAACACATTACGACCAAGCATTTTTATCTTTCAGGTGTTCATGGACTGCTGTAATATGCTTCCCTTATGAATATAATGTCAAACTATTACAAATTCTAATGAAGACATTTATTTACATTAAATATACATATTAAAAACTATAATAATAATTTTAAAAAAAACTAAAACTAGAGACTTAATTATCATGTAGTCCTACTCCCCGTGTATCGTGTATCGTCCCAAGAACGCTGGCTGCGTTTCTCCGCTGAATGGCTATACTTAGCCTTTGAGCGAGAAAAAATGGAGTTCCTTTAGGAACTCCACCGCACGTGGACCCCACGGACCGATAGTCTCTACAGCAAATGGCACAAATATGTAGTCATCTCTCAGAGACTCATATTTGCGCCACTTACTCAGTTCAGCTTATGAGTTAGTTGTATTTTTGAAAAATATTTAATATTATAGTCTTTAATTAACAAGATTATTTTACCAGAACCACTCCTTGAAGCGATGCTGAGGCGGGATTGCGCCTCGTGGCTGTAAGCGTTGAGGAGGTCGGTGAGCTCCCGCCCACCTTCCGCGGCGAACACGAACAGGCCTTCGCCTCGGCCGCACCTTGAGCCACCCTCCACACAGAATCGCTTGTCTACCACGCCGAAACGTCTGCAAACGAGAGATCAGGTTAAGAATAAACAGTAAGAGTTCTTCACTGATAAGGTTATAAAACCAGGGGATAAACTGATTTAAAGCATGGTCTTGAACTGAACACGGACTCTTTTCAAGTTAAGTATATTGTAGACAAAATCTAGTGTCGATTAAGACTCAAAATGTAGATGCGTTAACATCCCTCAGGACCAAGATGGAATCCTTATAATCACCATACGATTAAACGTGATAGAGCCATGTTGCAGCTATACAATGGTTGTAGCACGAATGGGTCAGCTCCATCGGGGAAGGAACACGCTCTTACAGAATACCAGGTTAAAATAGTAGCTTAACGCTGTTGTGTTTCGTTTGGTGGATGTAGAGAAATGGAGATCTTTTTCACTGGTAACTCAGACACTCAAGAGTGACAACGCATCTGCATTTTGATTCTTAATCGAGGATTAATGTAGATGTCTATGGGCCACAGCATCCACTTACAATCAGGTGAACTGTGTGCTCGTTTGTCACTCTTATTACATAAAAAATGCAAAATGAAAGCTAATAAATGTGTTGCATACCCCATACCCGAGGAGACCAGTCCCCACAAGCGTATAGATTGTAAATCTTTATACGGTCCGCTAAATACAAACCGATTCCGCCATAACTGGTCTTATACTACTGACCTACAAACGACAGCTAATCAATCATACGGACAAAAGCAAAACTTTTACGTTAATTAATTTATTCTGTTTCCTTATTAATTACGAACATACGGGCGCCAGTCAATCTTCCACCGCTGTCAACGGATTCATTAACGGACAAAGCTGTATTGTTCTATTAGTTTTAATTTGCCCCTTAGTTTTACGGGTTGGAAGCAATAAATATTTCAGAGTGATTAAAAACAGTTTACTGTTAGGACTATGCGGGTGGGCTTGTGTTTTTGAATATACCTATATATTTTTTTATAGAATAAGTGTGACAAACGAGCGTAAAGTCCACCTGATGGTATGTCGATGTTATAGTCCATACACATCTACGACATCTATGTTAAATTAGGAATCAATATGTAGATGCGTTGTAACTACGGACTTAGAAGGAATGCCTCGTTTCCAGTGAAAAGGTTCTCCAGTTCACTACACTCACTAAACGGAACACAGCAGCGTTACTCTGCTGTTTCACGCTGGTATTCTGTGAGAGCGTGGCGTAGCCTATTCATTTATGCTGCAGCTGCATATAGCTAGCATAGCAGCAGCGTAAAACTGTTAGAACCTAAACTAATTTTTAAGCAATGTTAAGAATACCTCTCTGATTCTTCATCAGTTCGTAAAAGTTCACTGCTGAACAAGGACCTCCCTTATTGTAGGGAGAAACTTACAGCAACTATTATTTATTCTGTGCTTATAGAAAAAACAGTTTTTATTTCCTTTTAAAATTATTTATTTTGTTATACAATTTTCATTTAATTATATTATTGTTAAAGTAACAGCGTACACATTGGTTGCGTTTGCATCGTGATGGCGTTGCAAACTCCCTCTCCCTACAACGGGAGAGGCCCGTATGCAGCAGTGGATTTCACTTGCTGATAAAGAAGAAGAGGAAGAAGAAAACCTCTTATTTCTTAGAGGGGTTTTGCAGAAGGGACACTTTTACATATAGGTTTCCTTACGGTGTTTTCTTCACCGCAGAACACTTGGTAAATCAGCACTTAAAATAGAAAAACATTTTTAGTGGTGGCGGCAACATCGAACTTAGTTTGCTCCTACACTATCAAATTTTAAGACAATCACCTTATCCCTTAAGCTTTAACGACCGACTCACGTATTCTGAATTTCCTCGAAATATTTAAAAATTCGAAAAAATGTGGTTTCAATTTTTTAAATGTGATTGGTTTGATATAAAAACTCTTTGATATTAAAACGGCTATTTGTTCTTTCATATAAAAACAAACAACCTTAACATTAAAGTAAAATATTTTATCTGTGCTGGACACCTGTCATGTACCACAGATAACATATTTAAAGCGACGTAGAAGCACAGACAAAACGCAGCAAACGAATACTGTACGATATGATTTATTACTTGATGCTTTATGAGTGACAACAGTGGAATGAACTTTCACACAAAATGCACGTGAATCCGGGGCCGAAGAGATAAGGCAGCATGGAAATTATTTGACCGCGTCGGAATTTCATTTCGTAGGATGGCAGTGCTGACTGGCACGGGTGAATTTCATAGATGTCTGACATCCACTCGCACAATCTTCAGGGAGTTGGGACACGGATCTATTGTATATTCTATAGCAAGAAGAGACAAATATCGTTTATTTATAGGCTAATTTATCACTGCTGTTAGACATGAACTGACGGCTCGGTAACGCAAGCTAAGTATTTCGCTGTGGCAATGAGAGCCGCAGGTTCCCTTCGCGTCAGCTCTCCCTCTCTCTCTCTCTCTCTCTCTCTCTCTCTCTCTACCGTTCAGGAAGATAAAGGCACCAACCCAGATGGGATCCTAGGAAGAATAGGAATCCTAACACGAGATCAAATCGTTACGATTCTTTGATCTTATCGATTAAGTGTTACATCGGGCGTGGGTAGATGAGAACGAGTCTTTGTCTGCGCACACACTTGTGAAACTGTCATTGGTCCTACGCAGTTAACAGATTCCAACAATACAAAGAAGTATCCACCATGTATGAAAACATCTTCATCGTCCTCAAGTATAAGCCCCTTTCCAAGTTCAGTGGATTTTCGTCTCTGGCAGTCCAGTGAACGTGTATCGTAAATTTATGAACATATATACATAACTTTCATCGGCGATATACTGTTCCTACAATTCCTGCTCCATATTCAACAATACTTTATGAATTTATTGAAATTAATGACGGAGGTTATAATCAAATTCTTATTTATTCGAGGAAAGTTATATTTAACTACACTCACCATACGAAACACAGCAGTTTCAAGCTGCCATTTTACGCTGGTATTCTGTGAGAGCGTGGTCCTTCCCCGCTCGAGCCGACCCGTTCGTGCTACAACTATACGAGTAATATAGCTGCAGCATGGATCTACCAGGTTTGGCACATTCTTCACAATTACCTTGCTGAGCACATCCTCATGTTTGTGAGAGTAATGGAGTAGTATATGGGTCCATCGCGCTTCGCCATGCTTGGCCTTAAAAAATTTGAAATTTTATCAGACATGAAAGTTTCCTCATTAATGAACATTCGTTAAATCAGCATTTCAAATGAAGCCAAGTGTATTTAATTAAGTTAATTCTGCTTTTTTTTAATTAAATATTTATCAATTATTTACACTTATTTTTTAAATCCGTTGTTTAGTTCATTTATACTTATTTTTATTAGTTTCATTCTGTCGTTTTTTTTTTTACTTTTTTTTTTGTAATTCATTCTCGATACATATGTGGTGCTCAACCACGTATTAATGTGTTTTCTTTCTTTCTTTCTATATAAAAAAAAATATGATAAATAATACAAGTGCAGTATTAAATAAACGATGTCGTAACAAATAGTATTATATCCGTGTTACGGTTCTTGGTCTGTATACAGCTAGGATAGAACCTGGAGCCGACGGCTCTCCTTTGACTCGTTTAATATACTTCCTTCTTTGTATGAATTAAATTGAATCCGGCATTTGTAAGGCGGGTTTGTTTGTGGTCCAATTACAACGACAATCCAAATTTAACAAAGTGATTACGTATCTACTAGAATTAGTTTAGAGATTAGGACTATAGACAGAATAATCTCTTTACATTGTAAATTGTAAAGATATTCTAATTCACGTTTATTCATTATTTACCCTAGTGGTCGCCTAGTGGTTGAAATTCGACCGTAATTCATTAAACTTAAGTTTGTATATTAAGCAAGTTTATTTTACTTTATATACATCCTCAAATAAAAAATATAAAATAAACGCTTTTTGCCTTCACATAATATGTACACTTCACATACTATTAAAACATTTGAAATGAGACAAAATTAAAAAGTAATATTTAAAAATTTTTTGGCAACAATCTCTACTCTGTACGACTGTTTGACCACAGACTATTATGTGATTGCATTTTCCTGATAACAGCTCAAACAATTTAATACTGTGGGTGACAACCCGCTGCCAAGTGTGGCACGTATGGCAAATATCCTGCCCTGTGAGGCAATTTAGGGGAGTCCTATTTTCAGCAGTGGTCTTTTGATAGGCTGTAAAAGTAACGGTAATACAAACATACAATATTAATAAAAACATATATATTTGAAAAACACATTTGTAAACTTGCTCAACTTTTGACACGCACCCATGCATACATCTTCCCTTTTTCTTTCTTTATCAGCTTGCTATCTTAGAAATGGTCTGTTTATCTTTCTTTCTTGGCCTAAGATGTATGTAAAGACGTGTTGTAAAGTACACGTGGTACATATATACCACGTGTTCAGTAGTGAAGGAATACACCGTGGAATCCTGATAGAAATCCTGATGGAAATCCTAATAGAAATAATACGTAATTAAATACGTGGTAGCGCCATGCTGCAGCTATATTAGTAGTATAGTTGTAGCACGAATGGGTCGGCTCGACCGGGGTGGGACCACGATCTCACAGAATACCAACGCAAAATAGCAGCTTAACGCTGATGTCTTTCGTATGGTAAGTGTAGCGAACCGAAGACCCATTTTACTGGACACGAGGCATTCCGTCCTAGTCCTCAGGAGTAGAATAGAATAATTTTGATTCAATATAGATTACACTACATAATACTTATTGAAAGTCATTTTTTTACTTTTACCACTAGTTCGCAAAAAAAACCTCTGTTCTGGGAAGAACCAGCAAGAAACCCAGCGGCTCTTTTTTTTTTAAAAGCACAATTTTATAAATACAATATTTTATAAAATTGTTATGAAAACATTTAGAGACAGTGAAACAGTTAGAAGAGTGACAACGCATCTGCATTTTAATTCTTAGTCGAGGATAAATGTCTATGGGCTACAGCATTCATTTACCATCAGGTGGAC